AATTCAAAAGTCATTTGTAAGCGACACATAAGCTCGGGAGTCAGGGTTTTCTGTCTGTTTCTCTGTCTGTGTCTGGGCCTGAGTTGGGATCATAAACGTAAAACGCTTAGCACTAAAGACAAAGGCAGCTCACAAAAACACATATATATTTATAGGGACGAAGGGGCGGGGAGGCGTGGCAGGGGCAGGAGCAACAATGCCGCCAAATGAAACAGCAAACAAAAAAGAGCAGGCGCGGGACTGGGGCAAAAAAACATGGCCATAACAATAAAAGCACAACAATAAGCAGTAACAACGAGGACAACATCGCCGAGCTCTACGGCATGAGGTAACACACACAACACCAGTGATGACATCCAAAAAGAGCCACATCAAACATTTAAAACACCTGAAGGCACTTGGCGATGGGTACCTGCATGTTTGGGAAAACCAAAATTCAATGATAAATATATATTTCGTGCTATGCGCTTTTGTTGAACCAGAATTTATTGAATTGCTTCTATTTTTCTGTACATTTTAAAAGTTTTTGATTCAAATTAATCTTATAAATAATAGCGAGTTTAATATTTTAATATTTTAGATATTTTTATATTTTAGACAATACAAAATGTGCTTTTAAATCCATAAACAATCGTTCTCTACAACATATAGTACTATTTACCTCAATTTATTTTAATACCCAACAACAATTCGATTGACTTGTGGGGACTATAAAAAATAAAGGTTTTCCTAGTATTTTAGAAAAGTAAATCGATAAACATTTTATTAATATTTTATTAAGAAATTTTTGTGTGCATTGAACTCTACTGTTGACTAATATATATTGCTTATCATTTTAATAAATACATTGTTAATAAAACAAAATACAAAAACAAATACAAAATTTCTAAAAATAATTTATAATAAAGATTTATTCCTGACCTTAATAAAAGCTGTAGTTAAATGGTATGGTCGTTCTAATAGCCAGACTACCAGAACTGGGGAAGGCACAAGTACGGGCCCAGGATCAGGATAAAGGAGCGGATGTGGGAGGCGGGCTCGTGGCCCTGGGGCTGCCAAGTGTAGCAGATTAACGGAATGTTTGTTAAATGGCGCACGGCTGGGTGGCAGGATGCAGGCAGGAGTACAGAAGTACAGAAGTAGAGAAGTACAGGAGGTGGCGGGCAGGACTTTCTGTAGGCGCGGCTGTGGAATGCCGTAATTCTCATAATTTGGCCTGGCTGTGTGGCATTGTGTGCTCCCTTTTGGAAAAGACAAAGCAGACACTAATAAGGCAGGCAGACTCGCAGAAGACCACTCAATAATTTCCTTTCTCTATTTCAAAGCCTCCTCTCTCTCTGTTAAGCTCTTAAAATATTCAATTCCACAGCTTAGTGGGCATTTTAGCTAATTAAAAAAATGAAATGCAAGCCAAGCTCGAGGACAGCAAATCGAATTGAAAAAAGGTCACAACATTTTTGCCGTTGAGTATTTTCATTTGCCTAATGCTCCTTTAAGCCGCTTAGGTGGTTGTATGTGGTCTCCTTTGTATATATATATATATATGTATATGTGTGGGTGTACTCTTAAGTTGCTCAAGCGAGTGTAAGGGTGTGTGCGTGATGACAATGATGGACATTTAAGTAGGGATTCATTGGGTGTTACAAAAATCAATGGATTGAAAATCATTCTTTAATAAATCACCAATCTTTCTGAGCTGCGACTTAGAGAGGTCCTTCTTTTAACTTGAGGTGAAACATATTTATATCGGGTACAAAAAAATATATCAAACTGGTAAACACCTTATACTTAAAACTAATACCACTGAGAGCCGTGATACTAAAATGACTTTCTTTTAAGTGTTTCTATTTAAATCATGCCTTCTGTATTTATGGCAGCGCGCCTCAATTCACATGAATGATTTCATTGTTTGTGGGCTGGAGGCGAAGTCAATTCGAGATGGCCTCAAAATCGGACAAAGCCATTTTTGTGTGAGCTTATATATATGTGCACAGTTTCAATTGATTTGCCGTCAATTTCATTTGCCAAAGTAAAAATACGACAGTCCCAAAATAATGCTTATGTGGCATGTATACAGGGGTAGGCTTGCCCCGGGCATGATGAATTATTATTTTCCCTCTCGTGCTCTCGCAAGCACACTCCTTCCTCGCATTACGCATACGCACCGTGCACTCAAATCCAAGTCGAGGCCGCCTGTCAGCATGTTTGTCCGTTGTTCCCTGTCCATTTGTCCAATTGTCCGCTGGCCAAACCACAATCATTCATCATGCTGCAACAACAAGGCGCAACAAGCAACACATTGTTGTTGTTTGGTTAGCTTGAGCCACCCATTTTCCGCTCATTTTCCACCCAATCCCTATTCCTAACCCGCCCCCCAAAAGGCGCCTGCTTTGACATCGATATGGCGTTGATACACACGTTCATCGAGCGGACATTGTTAATGTATTCTATGTATATTGTTTGCCCTTTTTTTTCGTTGCCCACACACCCACAACTTTTCGAGCTGAGCCAAAGGCAATTATCCGTGCCAAGCAGCAAACCCAATCCCCAAATGTGCTAATCCATCAATTGGACTCAACGGGAGCTTCAACACTTTGTCTTCTTTTGGGCACAGAGCAACTGGCAGCATTTGTACATGCTATATTGCCAAGCGAAACGGAAGCTGCAACTTATTACAAGTATTCAATAACTTTGTTTCCTCGAGCAGAAAAAATATTATCCTTTGGATCGACTTACACTTTTGCAAGGGCATTGAAAAGAAACGGGAAATAAATATAACAAATTTTACAATTAATACATTGCAGTGGGTATTATTATTATTATTATTATATTCTGAAACTGAGCAGCAATTATATTTAGTGGCCCAGTATACAATACATAAAATATAATCAAATAAAGCTTTAATGTTTTCAGTCGTGACAAATAATAAGTAATGACCTTATTAAAGAAGCTTTTCGTTTTCTTTTGCAACAAGTTCTTTAGAAAGTTGCGCTTTTCACGAGTTCCGAGACTGTGTGGAAAAGTAGACGAGACAAATTTCGCAGCCATTAGTGGAATTCAAAAATAATTGCCCGGCAAAAGAATCCGCCAACTGTGGGCCCATTAAAAATCACTCCGAACTGCTTAGACTGCAAATTGTGTTTTACATTTTTTCCCTCATTATTTGCACGGAAGTTGGACACGAATTATGGCCAATGTATAATAGCCATTAAAACTTTCTTGTTTGCCCGACAAGTTGGACGGTGGGGAGGGGGGAAAATCAGGGAAACGGAAAACGGAAAACCGAAATAAGCCAAGGTAGGAGCTTGAGGTGGAATACGAGTGTTAGACAAAAACTTTTGCAATAATCATTTCGCTCCCTGACTGACTGTCGCTGTCCTTGGCAGGACAAAGCGGCGATTGCCAGGACCCACATACACATATAGCTATGTAAAACAAAAAAGAAAAAGAAATCGGTGGAAGGAAAGCACAGCTCAGATAGAAAATTCAGCAGAGCGGAGCTCCGCAATTGCGCGACTGTCAATACAAAACGAACAATTAGATGGTGGCCTCAGCGGGGGAAGGGGGAAAACGTGGGTCCAGGAGCTGACCAACTAGCTGCCAATGACAATGGACAATGGCCACACACAACGGCAACAGGCTACAGTGTCCTTCTGAATTATTGAGCGTGCAACTTGTTGAAAATCCAAGGATACCGCCAAAGGAGGCAAGTCCTCGGGCTCTGTGTGTGTGTGTGTGAGTAACATTAATTTACTCATTTCAACAAAATGTTAAAAATTTACCAAGCTATTTCCCCACGGGAATGTTCGCTAGAAAAAGGGGCTAACTGGAAAAACTGCTAAAGCGCTGAAAACAATTAAAAAGTTTGAGGCACTGCCGAAGAATGCGCCAAGAAATGTTGATGGTTTTATGGCGTTTTAATGGGTTAAGGGCGTGAAAGGACGAAGGATGAGGATGGCATTCCGGGAAAAGCGCAGCTTGAAGCGAAAGGTGTTTGAAACGTGTTGGAGAAAGTTGCGGGGGGAATCCTTGAAAATCAAAAACATCTTGCCATCTCGATTGCCATTTATTTTGTTGGATTTTCAATGTTTAATTTCCTGTCATCAATCAGCTCAGTTTTCTTAATCAATTTTTGAAATAGCTGAACAGGAAAGTGCTGGGCTATAACGACACAAAAACAATATATTTCACAGTTAATACCCAAAGATCTCAAGTCCACCAAATCTCCATCACTTTATTTTTAAAGTTGTACTATACTTTTTATGTAGCTATTTAGAATCCACACTTTCGCCGCAAGTGGATATCCGTTAATTTCATTGGACCATTTGCAGCAGCAACTCGCAGCTGGCTTGAATGGCAGTCACGTCGATATTGTATGGCCAATTTGTTCGTGACTAACACTTTCATGGGCAGTTAGCCAGGTCCAGTGGAGGAGCATAAACTGCCACAATTTGCTCACCAAATAAGCGGCAAAGTGGGAAGTAGTCATAAAGAATATGCCACTGATGTATTCAGTAAGCTGAACAATTGAAATTTGATTTTATGTCTTTTACAAGAATAAGGTTTACTATACATAAGTCAAAAGGATTGTTTTATTGGCCTTAACTTTATAATATAAAAGCAATATACATAATTATTTCGAAAATGATTTTTTAAATTTTGTTGTAATCTAATCAATACAAGCTAAAATACTCTAAAGGAATCTGTCTTTGGCCTAGCAAATGCATTGGGTCCAGTTAAATCTGAAAACATTTATGGAAAATTAAAGAACGATGTCCTTTAAGAATTTGTTGCATTATTAAATGTGTTACAATCAAAAAGATAGGCGATGTGGTAGGTGTTTTTAAATGATACATTGCAGAATTAAGTAGGCTATTGAACTTCCGAGTTCCGCTTTTTTATAAAATATGTTTTTCTTTTTCTTTTATTTACACAATTATTAATTAAGTTTGTTCTCAATGAAAATTTCTTAAGAAATCTTATTTTATATTTATTTGCAGAAAATGTTTGAATAGAGATGGCCAAACTTTCACGACGTGCCTCGTCGTCTGCAGCAACGCCCTCCACAGCAACAACAGCAACTACAGCGAGTACCGGAGCAACACAAGTCAACCCAAGTCATGCCACAGGCGACACGCAGCAACAAGAGGAGCAACAGCAACAGCAGCAGCAGCAGCAGGAGCATCTGCAACAGCAACATCAGCAGAAGACACAACACCTGCAGCAGCAACAGCCACAGCAACATCATCAGCTGCAACAGCAACGCGTTGTCCGTCGTGCCACCAGCAACAACAACAACAACAGCAACCGACCCCAAGCGGCGGCCCTCATCGATACGAGTCCTGATGTCCTGCATGAGAATCCACCGCCATCACCGACACCGGCGGCGCTTTCAAACCACAGCAGCAACAATAGCAGCTACCACAGCAACACTGCCACGCCCACTGCACCCGCCCACGCCCACGTCACGGCCACGCCCTACATGCCGCTGCTACCGCCGGGCGAGCAGAATCTGACGGATGCGGAAAATGCGGCGGAGCGGGCCAGGATTCGGGAGGAGTTCTTCGCCACGTACGACGTGATGACGGGCGTGAGGATCGCCGCCACTTTGGGCGGCTTCTTTGGGCTGATGGTCTTCCTGATCGTGTGGAAGAGTCGCAGCAGCAGCAACGAGACGCTGAAGGTCCTCAAGGATCCCAAGATGGCGGCCGTGGCGGCGGTGTGCATGCAGGAGGAGGAGGAGCGCGAGATCCACGATGCCATCGTCGCCACGGGGATGTCGATCTATCCTGATGAGTACGATGCCATGGTCTATCGCCGCCAGAGGATGCTCTCGCTGGGCAATGTGAGTGCCCCGCCGCTGCTGAATCGGGGATACCGCTGTGGTTCCATGGGTGAGTACTTCAAAGGGATTCTGGCCAAGTAACTAGGTAAAAACCCTCCTTCTCCATTTCCAGGTGGCGTGGGAGTGGGCGCTCCTGTGGGCTACAGCTATCTGCTGGAGCCGCCGCGTCGCTTCTCCTACTCTTCCATGTCCGGCGGCGGAGGACCGGGTTCCGGCCATGTGGGACGTCGCAAGAGCGGATCAGAGTCGTCGCGCATCTTCAGCAATTATCCCATGGGCGGCAGCTTTGGCACAGACGACTACTTCGTGGAGACGGAGGACGAACTGGAGGCGGAGGAGTACATGCAGCCGGGCGTGCCAGATGAACCAGTGCACCAGCATCAGCGAACGGACTCCACGCGCAGCAAGCCGGGATTTCTGTCCGTACCAATGGCGGTGAGTGCAAGTGGAGCCAGTTTCCCCCACCCAGAATCAATCCATCCTGCAATGAATCCATCTTACAACACCACAGGGGCAGGACTCCCGCCGGAGCAGCGCCATGACCTGCTGCAGCACGGATAGCTCCTACCTGGAGCGGCGCTCCTCCGCCTACATGGGCGGATGCATGGGCCACCTGCCGCCCACGCTGCAACGGAAGCTATCGACTGCCTCGCGGACTTCGAGCATCGCGGACTGGGACTACTACTACCCGGACATCCAGGTGATCCAGCCGACGCCCAAGGCCTCGCCGTGTCCCTCGGAGCGGAGTGTGCACGAGGGATCGGGTTCGGGTTCGGGTTCGGGCATGGGATCGGGATCGGGAAACGGATCACGGACCTCCAACCTGAGTGCGCCGAGCATCAAGCGGAAGCACAGCATCGTGTCCTATGATCCGGATAGTGCTCAGGCGGGTAGGAAGCAGCAGATCCACTCGATAAGCGCCGACACCGTGGACGTGTATCCGTACAACCAGGAGAGCTCCGTGGATCTGGCTCTGGCCCTGCCTCTGCCCAAGCCGGTGCAGTCGGCCCCGCCCACCAGTGCGCACCAGGCGTTCCACTTCTGCGACTCGCCCTCGGAGGAGCTGCGTCTGGGTGTGCGGCGCAAGCTGACGCTGGTGGAGCTGCAGCGCAACGAGAGCAACAACAATAGCTTTCCGTACACGGCGAACGCAGCGGTTCCGGCCGGAGTGGCGGCGGGTACGGCGGCCAGCTCGAGCAGTATCAGTGTGGACAGCACACCGGTGAGTCTGGAGCGGCTGAACGGGACGGGGAGCGGCGGGAGCGCCAGTCTGGCCACCGTCTCCGTGTCCAACAAGCTGCCGCCGATGGGCAACAACAATCCGGAGAAGCGAGCGCCGCTGGCCTCACTAAGTTCCTTCAAGATCTCCTCGCTGGAGTGTCCCGACTCCGAGCTGCGCTCCCTGGAAGAGGACTCGGTTTTTGGGCTGGAGAGTCCGGCGGACACGGACGATGACATGCAGCAGCTGAGCAGCGACAGCGAGGAGCAGGAGGCGGCCGCCCAGGCCCAGGCTCAGGCTGCTTCTATGCGGGCTTCTGGCGGGGAGACCAAGCCCAATCCTCTGCAGCTGCCCATGCCCGCCAAGCGGATGAGTCTGAGTGCGGTGCCCTCGGCGGGAATGGCCATGGGTGGAGGTGCCAGGCCGCGGAGGCCTCTGCTCCAGAGACATCGAACCATCAGTGCCACATCCGGTGATCGAGTGGCCCTAATCAACCAGCCGCTGCAGCTGCAACAGTTCCACATGGGCATGCCAATCCAAGCGGAGGCGCCGGCTCCGCTGGAGACCCACTTTGGGGCGGTGATAAGCCAGAGTCCTCCCAGGCGAGGACCCCTGCTCCAGCAGTACAGCGATCCGCAGACGACGACGACGACGACCACAACGACCACCACCACGGAGGAGGACACTTGCTCCACCCTGAACACAGAGCTGGGCTTGGGGGAGGCCACCGGAGCAGTTCTGGGAGGCGGTGGAGGAGGTGGGGAGTCCAACACCCACACGCAGTACAGCAGCCTGAACACGGTAATCAGCTTGGGCCGGTCCACGCCCAGTCCCGTTCCCGTTTCCGTTCCCCTTCCGGTTGTGAGCAGCCGGATGGACAATAATGCCGCCACACAAGCCACACAGCAGCCAGCTCAACTGCCAACGAATGCCATCCGGCTGGTCCACGATCCCTGCCCCTCGTCCGTGTCCGATTCGGTGATAGCCACCAGGCAGCAGAGCATCTGTGTGCCCGCCTCCCTCAAGGATCTGATCCTGCGGAAGGGATCGGGTCCGGCTCCGGCGCCCGCCAGCGGCATCAGCCGGAGTGCCGCCAATCTGAGCTGTGAGAGTGGAGCTGGAGCCACTGCACCAACCACAACGACTGTCATGCTAGAGCTTCCCCTGATCCGGCTGCCCAACGAGGAGGACGACGAGCCGGTGGAGCACACCGATTTAGGCGGGGAGAAGCGCGATCCCAGCCTGCCCGGCACTTCCAGGAAGTGGTCCAAGGAGACACTCTTCTAGCCCAGCTGGATTCCACTGCTCCAGCGAAGGCAGTTCCCAGGGCCGGGCCACTAATTAAGAGCTTAGCAACTGACTTTGTACGCATGGTATTGGGGTCTACAGTGAAAACTCCCGAGAGGGGATTAACGTGGTTTATGATCATCTTCCAAGAGTCTATAAAAATGTTATTCAGCCCATAAGCCATTTCGAATTTTGGTTTGGAAAATATCCCCAATAACAACACTTGTCTAGGTCAGGAAATGTCAAATCCTAAGACCTTGAAACTTAACATCATTTAACATGTTTTGGGTCACATTTTCGAAAATGTATTTGAGTCTCCTTCAGGGGGTTTTCACTGTAATTTCGGTAGTCGCATGGTCTGGCAACCAACTTCCTGGGTTGCTCGAGACCCGGAACTATGAAACGCGAGTATCGACGAGTATTTAGGCTTAGATAAGGAGGATTAGATTAAGCGCATTTAGTCAAAATATAAGTTAGTTGGTCTGTCATAAGGGTTACAGTAGTACATGCCTACTCATCGTGTAAAGACCGATCGAAATGATTAGGAGGGTAATGCAGCAGCAACATGAACAACAACGTATTCGTACTTAGAGACTGTTGTCTATTATTGTTAATAGAACTCTAAAAGTTAAGTAGTGATACTCGGATTTATTTTTCACACTTTATCTATAAATCGGAAGAGCAAGCATGCGAATATATATATTTGTATGCGGCCATACTAAGGAAAGAGTTTATATATTTCTATAGGTATACCGCCAGCCGCCAGTCTTTCTATCCCCTATCTCTCACTCTCCCTCTTACGGAATGAAAACTCTTCTAGTGTCTTAAACAGCAGCCAAATACTTAAAGTATTGTAATTTAGGAATTTTATAGATTGCACAACAACTTCGATCGAGATCGAGTTATCCTTGCAACAGAAGTACTCTGACAAAGACCTTAAGGACCTCGAAAGGTCCACCCGAAGATGCCTAAATGTCTTTTACGCATAGCTAGACAAAAGTTGCAGACCTTCTAGGAATATTTTCGCATTTTCCCGCTCCTGCCTGTTCGAACTCGAATTGTTGGAAATATAATAGAGTTGTTGTCAGAATATAGAGTTACAAAACGAATATAACATTGCAAACCAAATTGAGAAAATAAACATATATGTAAACAATTTCCTAACTCATCCCACCTACGCATCTGTATTTTTCTATGAAAAGCTAAAGCCAAGGGAAGGAAAATAAATCAAATTACTTGTATTATTCAAATCAAAACACATAATTAGTGGACGAAAACCAAGATAGTATGATAGAGCTGCATTTTGAGGTGCCCCAGCCCCCTAGAGACTTTCTCACATGCCTGAGCCTCAGCCTGAGCCTGATTTGTACCTTTCCTATGCATAAGTATATATTTATATACACCACACATGTATAAATCGAGCCCTGTTTGAATATTTTTTAATGCTAGTAAGTATTTTGTACGACGAGATCAACTCGAAAGGCGCCTAAAAAATGCAAATGGTATATCAAAAAAGGAAACCCCCCAAAAACATAAAACATTAATTGTTGGTTATATGCTGAAGAACGTAAGAGTAAATGAAAATTCGAAAATATTGTAATTGTAGCGTTGATTTGTTTAAAATGAGCAAAAATATACATATAACTAATAACGTAGCTAAATATACATACCTAATGAAACCAATGAGCAAACCTAACTTGTGTAAGTCAAAGAGTAGCGGAACCAATTGTTAAGCCTAAGCATAATAAATCTGTAATAAAACTGAGCTGTTGTATTAAATGAACAATAACAATGTTGAAGACAAAGTTTGGATAAATAAATGCGCAGAGCATTCAGTTTGTGAACTTCGAATACGAGTAATAGTATTTTTACTAGATACCTCTCCTTTCGCCCCTTTCGTTGCAATGTTTTCTTTTATACTTTTGTACTAAAACCCTTTTCTTCTTGATTTTCCTAATGTTCATAAACTCGATGTCTATATGTACCTCTAGCTAAAACTCAAAGCGTAATTGATAAAATTGGTAAACGAAAGCAATTCGAAATTAAAACAAATATGTGTACTACTAACGCGCAAAAACAGAATTATTAATGCAAGATTACTTTAAAGAATGGATTAAAATTTTTAAAAAGTATGAGCTATTAAAGAACAAACTTAGTTAAATGTTATATATATGAAAAACCAAGAAAATTGATGTACATGTTAGCGATATTAATGAGAAAATGTGACAAGTGAAAAATAAACCGGAAGAAAATACATATACACAAGTTGCCAAGAGATAGTCGCTTCTATTTGGGATTATCAATTTGTTACGCCTAAATGGGATACATTAAACTACATTGCGAGAGGTGGCCCACTTTAGTATCTGTACTTCGTGGAGTAGTCCTTTGGCGAGACGACCAGACCACGGCCTTTGCGGGCACCCCGGTACACCGTCTCCACGATGTCGATCATCTCCTGCTTGTCCTCCAGAGGCCAATTGATCTTGTTGTTGTTACCGGTGCCCAGATCGATCATGATGTGCTTGTTGCGGAAGAAGAACATCACCGTGCAGGGATCGTACAGCTCGTACATTTTGTTGAAGTCGGGCACCTCGGTAATGTCCACTAGATAAATTACCGCGAAGTTCTTGACCTTCTCCGCTATGCTGTACATCACCTCGTCCATTTTCATGCAGGCGGGGTCCCAATCGTGGCCGAATCGGATTACCTGATTTGGGAGAAGAGGGAGTTACTCATTTGTAGGACTTTGTTGGACGACCAGGTGGTGCTCCAGAGGGGGCATCGTTCCACATTACTCACCACCACGCGATCTTCCTCGGAGAGAATTGCCTGGTCCACCTGCCAGCCATTGTGCAAATGAGGGAGCATGTACGACATCCTGGCGAGTTATTTTATTCACAAGTAAACGCCGAAAAATTAAAACATAAACAAATCTCTGAAATTAGAGATGGACAAACATAGATATTTTTTCTTTTCCCTAATTATCGATTTGTCAGGCCAGTAAGAACGAATACGTTAGTGCAACATTCGATAACAATCCGAAACGACTCTTTAAAAAATATATTCTGCACTCATGGTTATATGAGAAATTTAAGTAGACACTTAAAATTTATGTTTAAAAATCTCTGACATTTTGGTAATTTTCCAAAAAAAAGAATATCTTGGTTTATCGTAATTTAAATGTAATTTCTTTGATCCTTAATTTCAGTTGCCAATATAGGTATTAAATATTTGAAGATCCTACGTTAAATACGAAACTCGATTTTTCAGATTTCTGGCAATACAAATAATAAGGTGCGGAAGTTTATGTATCGTAACCGCCTTATTAACGTTTTGAAAGCCATCGGAAACTTAAAAAAAAATATATCAACGTTAAAACGACCAATTTGAATACACATTTTTAGAGAATATAACCACAAGTTTTTAGAGGCATGCCACTTTGAAATCGGATAAAATTTGGTAAAGTTATGAACTCTGGAAGTCCAATTGGGGGACCACTCATTACAAGACACCGGAAACTTGGAAATAACTAACATGAAAATGGGTCAAAAATTTGAACAACGGTAAAATGAAAATTTTGAATGCAGATTTTTAGAGAATGAAATCACAAGTCTTTAGAGGCATGCCACTTTGAAATCGGATAAAATTTGATAAAGTTATGAACTCTGGAAGTCCAATTGGGGGACACCTCATTACAAGTCATTGGAAACTTGGAAATAACTAACATGAAAATGGGTCAAAAATTTGATCTACGATAAAATGAAAATTTTGAATGCAGATTTTTAGAGAATGAAATCACAAGTCTTTAGAGGCATGCCACTTTAAAATCGGATAAAATTTGATAAAGTTATGAACTCTGGAAGTCCAATTGGGGGACCACTCATTACAAGACACCGGAAACTTGGAAATAACTAACATGAAAATGGGTCAAAAATTTGACCGACGTCAAATTGAAAATTTTGGATGCAGATTTCTAGAGAATGAAATCACAAGTCTTTAGAGGTATGCCACTTTGAAATCGGATAAAATTTGATAAAGTTATGAACTCTGGAAGGCCAATTGGGGGACCACTAATTACAAGTCATTGGAAACTTGGAAATAACTAACATGAAAATGGGTCAAAAATTTGAACAACGGTAAAATGAAAATTTTGAATGCAGATTTTTAGAGAATGAAATCACAAGTCTTTAGAGGCATGCCACTTTAATATCGGATAAAATTTGATAAAGTTATGAACTCTGGAAGGCCAATTGGGGGACCACTAATTACAAGTCATTGGAAACTTGGAAATAACTAACATGAAAACGGGTCAAAAATTTGATCTACGATAAAATGAAAATTTTGAATGCAGATTTTTAGAGAATGAAACCACAAGTCTTTAGAGGTATGCCACTTTGAAATCGGATAAAATTTGATAAAGTTATGAACTCTGGAAGTCCAATTGGGGGACCACTCATTACAAGACACCGGAAACTTGGAAATAACTAACATGAAAATGGGTCAAAAATTTTATCGACGTCAAATTGAAAATTTTGGATGCAGATTTTTAGAGAATGAAATCACAAGTCTTTAGAGGCATGCCACTTTAAAATCGGTTTAAATTTGGCAAAGTTATGGACTCTGGAAGTCCAATTGTGAGTCACCTATTTTACAAGTCATCGGAAACTTAGAAATAACTGACAATTTGAATGCAGATTTTTTGAGAATCAGATCCAGATCAAGAATATACATACTTTATAGGGTCGAAAACGCTTCCATCTACCCGTTACGTATTTTTCGACATTCAAAGTACCCTTAAACGGGTATCAAAATTCTTGTATATTTTGTGTAAAATTAAGTTTTTATTAGCCATAAAGTATTTAGTAGCGTCCTTGTCAGTTCAAGTATTTCTGCTTAAAGCTATCGATGTGTTCCAGCACCCTAACCGTCATCTCGTTTATGTATTCGTCCCGACCCTGATCGCTGAACGGATCGGGTGCACTGCGTCGCGAGACATAGTGATTGGGCAGGTTCACCTTGTGGCGGCCAATGGACTTGATGATGAGCCACAGGATGTAGAAACTGAACCACACGGTGAAGTACAGTGGGATGTACCAGAGCTTCCGGCCAATGTAGAAGTAGCTGTACTTCTTGACACGTGGCTCCGGCGGCGGAGGAGGCGGTGGTGGGGGTTCCGTGGGCGGCGGAGGCGGTGGTGGTGGTGGTGGTGGCGGCGGAGGAGGCGGTGGGTGGTGAACATGGTGGTGATGGTGCGGATGATCGTCGTAAATCACGTCCGGATACGAGTCATCCGGATAGGAGGGCTGGTAATCAAAGTGACCCGGATAGTGACCTCCGTGCACATGGTCGTGATCTGGCTCCGGCGCATGATCGTGATCGTGATCGTGATCGTGATCCTCCGGCTTGGGAGCCGCCGATTCCGGGTGAGATTCCAGCCAACCTGGTGGTGGTGTGGCATACTCCATACTGGGATCGTACTTGTGATCGTCGTCGGGATGGGAGCCATCGTTGTGGAGCGCTGGCAGTGGGCCTTCGTCGCCATCTCCACCGCCGCCGCCATTATCTCCTCCATCTGCAGGGGAACCCATATCCCCGCCATCGGCAGGAGCGGCACCGCCGGCATCCTTGCCATCCTGATCCTTCGTTGGCATGTTGTCCATGGCACTGGCGGGCAGGACTCCAATCTGATCATCGTTTCCAGGATCATCATCTGCCGGCGGAGAGGCACTCGGCATGCTGGCCGCCGCATCCTTGTCGCCATTGCTATTTGCCAATGGACCCGGATACTTGTAACCCGGAAAAGAAGGACCCGGATAGGAGTACCCCGCGTTGCTCAATCCTCCAGATGCGGGTGGCAAGTAGCTCGTCACAGTATCCGAAGGCAATGCTGCTTTGGGATCGTTCGAGGGCGATGGATACTTGGTGTTCAGGGGCGGAAAGGAATAGGCATCGCTTGGGGCAACATAGGAATTCACGGAGTTAGATCCGGAGGCCACCTTGCCATCCTGTCCATGGCCATGATCATGGCTGTGATCGTGGCTGTGATCGTGGTTGTGATTGTGGCTCTTGAACAGACCAGCGGCTGTTCCTTCGCTGGGCGAGAAGCGATCGCTAAATCCTAAGGAGAAAAATAGAAAAATAACAATAAAATTGTTGAAAAAGAAACCTAGTCTTAGATGAAATGATAATTTCTAATGAAAGCATGCTTTTAAAAGGAGCCAATTCAATAATTCAAAAATATATAAATAAATTGTTATACTTCTTAGGTTTTTAATGGGAAATTTTTAAATAGCCGTTAAAGGAATTTTTAAGGTTTGCCAAATAACCATTTTTTAAAGAAACTCTTTTTCAACCAGAACCTTTTAAATATTTGTGATTGTGATACCTTTTTTGTAGCTGGGCCTCGAAGCCTTATAGCGAGATGGGTTTCGTGATGATGAGGAGTAGTAAGATGGACTACCTTGGGGATAAATACGTGTCTTTGAGGGTCGGGAGTTGTACTGCTGTGGCTTGCCGCCCCGCAGCAAAGGAGTAATCAGTTGGCCAAAGGGATACGCCGTCCGATAATCCACGGCGCGACCTGTGGAGGCTCCTTCTATAACTGGCGCTGGTTGCTCCTCGGATACTGGAGCAGGGACAGGATCACTTGGTTTCTCTGCATCTGATGCCACTAAGGGAGTAACAAACACCGGCGAGTTGGTTGTTCCCTCGGGTTGGTGGTTATAGGGAATAGGTGGAAGCGTTGTTGTGGATGTGGACGTAATCGCAGGAGCGGCAGTGGTGGAGACCACATTTTCGCTGGAGTTGAAGCTGTGTGGGCAAGGATGGTCAGGAATCTCGAACACCGATCCGCGAGCACTGCAAACTTACGTTTTCGGGAAGATCAAATCCGTATTGAGAGCCTTAAATATACGAGGTCCTTGGTCGTTTCCCGCTGCATTGCCACTGATCAAAACCTGAGAGTAGGCTTCAATCCGGACACAGCCAACGAAAAGTGCTAGACACACCAGCAGTGCCCACTTGACGCCTTCCAACCGCATCCTTAGACTTTGTATCCTTAACTCGTTTCACCACAGGACACTTTTTTCAATATTTATTTTCCACACTATCACTGAATATCCTTGGGGGCTACGCTGTCGTCATAACGTTACCGTTCCGCGTCGCGAGAAATTGTCGAATACGAGGCAGCACTTGGGCGACCATTGGTTTTATTCAACTCCGTCCAGCCGAGTTCGTGATTTCGTTTTTTCATGACCCAGATCCCGGGCAAAAGGTGCTACTAGAAGTGATCTACATACCTCCGATCTGGGCAGAACAGCACTTTCATTTCGTCGACGGCGCAGGTGCTAATCAATTGTTACTCCACATTTCTGATAGCATCTTCCGTTATGTGCTTCCAACTTCTTGGGATGGGAATATCTGTGGTGTGGAATGTATTTAGACTTCTAATCCGTGGTCGGCTTATGTGGTTTGTGGCGTGTGAGTCCAATTTTGCAACCAATTAGTAACGTTTTGCGTCGCAAAGATACAGATTCAAATTGTGTTCCTATTTGTTCAGCGGAATGTTTGAAAAACAGGAGAACTACAAATAAAATAAGGAATAAATTTGGAGCATAATAAATGTAAGAAGTATTATTCATCTAATTATATATTTATTTTTATTTATTGATTTAGATAAATATTTCAATAAATTTAAAAGAAGTTTGTTTATCTTATTCTAAGGTCTTCAATATTTATCCAAAAATATACCTTTTTCATTTTTTACTTTTACCATATGAATGAAAAACTGAAAGAATTCCATTTTGGCGCCCCAAAGGTGTTAATTTATAACGTACCAATTGTTTGAATATACCTGTTCAATCTTCTCCAAGCTAATATCATGCGTAACCCAAATTAAACGATTTCTAGTTCGAAATAAAGACAATAATATTTGTCAACTATCTTACCATGACCAAGACATCGAGATGGATGTGGGTCAGTAAGTGCGGCACTTGCTGCAGCGTGCCTTCCCCGATTAGCACCTATTCAGGCGTGCTATATACGTGCTATATGTTGACCCGCTCGTTCACAACTTAATTTTCAGGCATCTGCAGAGAACCAGTTCTGGGCTTGCCACTTTCCCGATTGGACCATTCAAAATGCCTGCAACTTTTACTTGTTTAAAGATGGGGTTTCAGTTTTACCGTACATATATTTCATACAATAATTGCAAGTCTTTTAAATGTTAGTACACAAAGTTTTATCTCATTAAAACAAGGAACTCGAAACAAACCGTTTTAGAAACAAGAATAACAAATGTGTCTTTCGTTACTCGATGGGGGTTGTCGCAAGTTAAAACAAACACGTGGAAGTACAAATGGGTAAAATAACGGGGCCAATTCTAAAAATAAGTCCAAAAATGCTGGCAGATGCAGCCACTGCTATGAATACCCCAATGGTTAGTCTGGATCGTAAAGTAATAAGAAATAGCGTGTTGAGTGGTGGTGTTATATACAGCCTTGGCACTAAGTACATGTGTAACATTGGCGTCTTTTCGTTTGGTAAGTCTTAGCCGTGAGTCTTAGAAGGGCGAGTTCATGCCCAATTTGGTGCCAAAGTCAAGACGCGCCCGACGCTGATAGCGAGCATTGACCCTTAAATAGAGAAATAATTAATAAGTGAATACCAGAAAGCGTAGTTAGCACCCACTTGTTCTCCTGGAACTTTGCCAGCTCACTGACAATCATACTCAGCAAGCAGCCGCCAAACATGACCAAAATTGCAGCCCACAATTTTGGAAACTGTTCATCGAAATCCTTTAGCATCAGTTGCAGAACACAGATAACTGTGTGGAAGAGGAGCAATAACCAACAGGTAATGCCCCAGATACGATTGGTAAATGGATTGCGCTGCCAGAGCGCGTGATCGCGATGCACAAATGTAAAAGAAATGAAAACTGCAAGGATACAAATCAAGTAATTAGGAGATCAAAAAAGGTATGGTACGAAAATTTACCAAAGTGTAGGATAATGCCCAGCAAGGCAGAGCTTCGAGCAAAGTAAAGGAACTGATAGAAGTCCTCATCATCATCATCGTCATCCTCGACATCTAATGAAAGTTCTTCTGAAACTTCAGCAGCAGGGTTAAGTCTAGACTCCGATAAGAACATCCAGTAGGAAACGAGCTAAAATATATTTGAAAATTAAAAATATGGTTTGGTGACATAATTCCCATGTTAAACATACCATGGATACGACCAGAACGATGAACTTGCACCCGTAACACCACATGACAAAGGCAAAGGCGCGCGAATCATAGTCAGTCTGCTTTTTGCTGGTGGCCCGATTCATGATCTTGGGATCCACGTCGATGTGGGCAAGCGAGATGGCTATTAGCGGCACCGGCACGCACATCAGGTAGATGACCAGCAGCGGGGTGAGGAGCGGTGGCAGCGAGAGGCACGCGCACAGCACGTTCAGAATTGAGATGGAGCCAGCGCAGCAGGCCCAGTACTGGATGCAGTTCCACAGGCCAAGCGAGAAGCGGCGTGACAGCTCAATTATGGCCACCAGCGAAAGCGGGTCGTCGCGGCAAACGGCAATGGAGCAGGGCAGAGAGTTGAGCAGCCGGCTCAGATACAACGGGGAGATGGTGTGAGCGGGCGTCTGCATGGCGCATCCCTGAAGACCGCCCTCCAGAAGCTCCTCATCATCATTGGCCTTGGATTTCCCCGACTGCCGCTGCCACAACAGTTTGTTGTGCTGAATATTGGATTCCGTGTAGGCGTCTACATCCTGGCACACCTGCGGGTACAGTGGCTCCACGGCTATACTACAGTCCGCTTGCAGGAAGATGTCGGCATTGGCATTACTAGCAGAACTTCCCAAACAGACGACGATCTCCCCGTAGGACTGCATAATGTCCAGCATCTGGCGAGTGGCCTCTGCCGAACAGTCCGTAAAAAGAGACACCTGCAGCGGTACGTTGTCCACCTGCTCCAAATGAGGTCTAATGTTTTCAATGCCTCTTGGCAGCTTCGCCCGATTGGACATGTCGAAATTTATGGGAGCACTCTGATCTGTGCTTTCGGTGAGCGTGCTCAGCGAGCGGCAGTTTTCGTCCATAGCGGAGTCCAGCGAATGGCGCTGCTTGTGCTTGTTGGGATCGGGTTCCCCCTCCAGTTCGGAATCTCCCGGTAGATTATTTTTTGGAGTGCTATCCTGTGAGCTTTCCTTGCTGCCCTCGCCATCCGGGGATTGAGGATCGTCACTGTTGAGGGCTGCATTCAGCGGATTACACTCATCCGGGTTGGAAATGGCACCAGGAGCTGAGGAGCTGAGGGTTTTAGATGACTCCAGATTGTTTGGCGGCCCCAAAAGATAATTTTTCTCTAGGCCATCACCTATAATTTCAGTGGCTTTAGCAGCAGATATGGATTCGGATACGGATGCAGTGGCAGGTGCGGGTGCGGGGGGCGATATGTACATGACTTTGGCACTGGGATGAAGGCTGTTCTCATGGTCTGTTGTGGTGGTGGTGGTGGCAGTGGTTGAGGTGGTGGCTTGGGGTTTACCAATGTGTTCCGGCACATCCTTGGCCTTGGCAGTGCTTCGATCCTTCTCGTTATCGGGCTCTGGTTCGCTAAGCAGCGAGATGTGGCAGTTCCAGCCGGACTCTAGACCCATTTTCTCGGAAAAGACACGCGATCGCAATTCGTTTTCCTTGCTAAAGTGAACGAATCGGATGCAGGCCCGTTCCAGGTGCTCAACCAGCCGAACGATATCATTCTGAGCCTGGTACTGCATAGTCACCATGCCAATGAACACCTGGTGGCACTGCATCTCGAAGCAGCCCTCCACATCGTTGCACTCCTCGTCCTTACTCTCCGAGAATAGCAATGAGTCCGTGCTGATGCTGTGGCCCAGCTTGACGTGGTGGCCACCCTGAAAGTCGCAGTGCGTCTTGTCCACGTGCTGCATGCGCAGCTTTGATTCCGGCGGAAGCTCCAGATACAGACACTCACCTCCGCTCCGCTGGGGACCACTCAGGGCTCCATGGATTCCGTGCCTCAGAGGGCGGTAGGCGAAGGCCGTGCAGTAGGAGGTCAACGCACTTCGCTGGTAAAAGTCCAGCGCCCGTTTTCGATCCTGGGCGGACAAAGGTCGCAGATCTATACCGTCCCAAAAGTCGTCGCAGCAATCCAAAATTATATCCGCCGTTCCCTGGGTGAAGAGGGACAGATAGCCTCCCGGATTCTCACGCATAACCACGGACAGGGAATGCGGAAATGGGACCTTCACCTTGGAGGACAGCTGCAGCTGCCGGGCGAAGCGAATATCCCTGCGTACCACATCTGGTTGCTATAGAAACGGGAAAACTTTAATAATTAAATGTGTTATGTTACGTTAAGTTTACTTCAATTGTATTTAAATTGAAAATTAAAAAGTTAATGAAATTCTGTTTTCTTTTTTGTTGTCGTTTTTAAGACTTACCAAATGACGGTAGCTGGCCAGTTGACCCTCCAGCGCGAACCGATCCGTGGCATGGTCGGTGAATCCAATCTGCTTGGCCAGCTCGCACAGGCAGCGTCTGTTTGTAGAGAACAACCGATTAGAACTGGTTCCCACTGCCGCTGGATGCGACGGCGGTGCGTGAGCGAACATGCAGGCAAGCGTGGCGGAGAGGGGTCGGCGGATGGGGCGGTGGCGGGAATGGGGCGACTATATTTAAGCGTTCTTGAATGTATGTTACTCAAAATAGCATGCCAATGGGGATGGGGCGAGGAGACGTAGGAGAGATCGATTTACGAGTACAAACAAATTAATATAGGTAAGTAGAATAATAAATACAAGGTTTTTATGTGTATACATTGCAGTTAGTTTAAAGGCTCGAATGATATGTGGTAAATTATAGAGCAAAACGATTAAGGAATAGCGAGTTACTGGAAATCAAAAATACGTTTTTCTTACGCTTGTAATTTTTAAATCATTACCAATCGCTTGTGTTTGTTTTGTGGGGGAATCGTCCAATTGGATTCAAAAATCAAAAATACCCAAAGCAAAGACTAATTTGATCGGGCTGGCTTTGGATGCAATGGTATGCAATACCATATTGGAGAAAATCATTAGACTATATAAGTAGTTTTGCGGTCGATGCTATCGACCATATATATATATATATGATTTGGTTAGACAGAAACTAACGATGAGTATGGCAATGAACTACGTACCCATGCAAAAAGCTTTTACTCGACTCAATGAGTGCATACGCATACCGATTAGTCACGGGCACCAGATCTTTGTCGAGCATGGCCACGGCGGTTACATGGCCGCAGAACTGTGCGTAGTGCTCGTGGGTGAGCGGCGAACAGGTGTTCAGCAGAATGGCCAGGCCTAGAAAAGGTGAAATACGTTTACTTCAGTTCGCTAAAGATAATTCGAGTCATTAGTGTCACCCAGTGGTTTCAAGGACTTGATGTGCGCCTTCCACTCGTGATCGTCAAACTCCAGCCGGAAGGGGCAGTGCTGATCGTGCGTTAGGTCCAGTACTTCCGCCACAATGCCCTGCTCCTTGTGATCCTCATCCACATCGGGCACATCGTCACTCTCGCTCTGCGACGACGACTGACTGCCTGCTCCATCCTCGCGGGCCTCTTCGTCGGTGTTGTGTAGAAAAAATACCTTCTCGGCGGTGGGGTTGGGCCACGACAGGATGCCCTTTTTATCAACGCAACAGAGCGCCGAAATGGAGCCCAGCACCTGGACGAGATTCGCTGAGCGCGGCAAGAGTTCACTATCCCCGCGCCACAGCTGCATCCAGATGCGGAACACATTTGAACGAAGCAACGAAACATTCTGGTAGTCGTACGATGGCGTGTCCAGATCCTCCTCAAACGATTTGCTTGTACTCTTCTCCAGGGCAGCCTGAGGAGTCTTCAGAAAGCACTGCAGCCGCGCAATGCCCCACAGATTCATGGATATCCACATCAGAGGAAATATCAGAGGCAACAGAGGGATTATGGCGGCCGCCGGGGATTCGATGAGCACGAAGCGCCAGTTGTGCTTCTCGTCGGTGGGCAGACCGTAGCCATGGAGGCGCAGTAGACCCGAGATGAGCGTGATAACCAGGGCACTAATGAAGCCCCACTGCTGAATGTACTTGGTGACCAACTGTCGACGTAAACAGAGATAAGAAGGGGTTCTAATTTGTATTTGGAGATCTCCTCACCAGATAGCGCTGCTGATTGTAGATGGTGGGTGGTCGTTTCAGGGATTTCTTGAGGCAAATGGTAAGGTTGTCCAGGTAGGGTGTGCTTTCCAAACAGCAAACGAGATCGGGCAATGGCGGCCGCGCAACTGGCTTCACCGGAGGATCGCCATGTGGAGCCGCACCATAGATTTCGTTGGCCGTGAAGAACTTTTTCGTCTCCAGCTCGTGACAAGGACCTGGTGAAATGTGACCCGGCCTCAGAACGATGTAGTCCCCGCGCACGAGCAACGCCCAGGGCATATTGACGATTTTTCCGTCACGATAGGTCCACTGAAGGGAAACGCACGGCGACATGGGATTACTCAGGTGCGGATAGTTCGTCGGCTGCCAGTCGTCGCTGAAGTGTTGCTCCGCCAATTGGAGTTCTCCCAGCGCGTGTCGCGTCTTCCGGAAGATCTCGGTGCGCCGCAGGTTGTTCTCCCGGACAACCACGAAGAGGTCGAGCGACAAGATAGCCAACAGGCACAGGGCTGGCCACAGCATGCCTGTGATTAGGAGTGCTCCGCTGGCCAGCAGACTGGTTCCAATGGAAAGCCAGCCCAAGGGACTATCGTATCGCTTCACAAATGCCGCCCGCAACTTTCGATAAGAGCTGTGGATACATGGGATTGCTTGGTATCAGTATATAAATATAGGTGTAGATATAACTCACCTCTCCGTGCCGCATTGCCGCTCGTGTTCTAGGAGCACCCTTTCGATCTCCTCATGCAAACGCCGCAGCGCCACTTTGGTGGTGAGTCCTCTCTGCTGGTGCTCCTGACTCGACCGCCTTTCCGGATTTTCGGCGGCCATTTTCCTCGACGTGATCCTGCCGCTGCAGTTCAAGAATTCGCGTCCGCCTACAGCATAGTTTCCTAACTTTGCTTCTGTTTAGTTTTGGGTTCGCCGATAAAGTGTTTGCAACAGTTCCATGCGCGGTGCGGTCACACCAGCATAGAGCTGCCCAATCCATCCCATTTCACGCCACATCTGGGTTTTTATGTGTAATTTAGCTATTAGCTATGTTTTTGGCTTGATAATTATTTTTTTAAATGCATATTTTCGTTTTTTTTTAGGATTCAGATAAACCATTTAATGATGCAGTTTTTATAATTAAAAACTAAAAGATATTTCTAAGGCATTGTTTTGGTTTCGGAACATTATTCAAATAATTTCCGTTACATTTTTTACATAAACAAATTAGCAAGTCTAAACATTAATGTTTTCGCTGGCACAATAATTCATTAATTACAAAATTAAAGCAATTGAAAACTCAAAAATTGTACGTAAACAGACTTCAAAACATATTCATAACTTTCTGCGGAATATAAGTATGTACATAGCTGACGAAGCACTTCGTTTGATGAAAGTAATTTTGCAGGAATTCTTTTTGTAAACAACCCATTATTAAAGTTTCAGTACTCTGTGCTTATTTCTTGAGTGGCATTTAATGCATCGATTATTCATAAGCCCTTTTATAGCGATAAACAAAATGTGAACTCAACAATAAAATGGTAACAAAAACCACGCTATTGGAAATTCAAATACTGGAACATCAACCAAACTAATGGATATTACGACCGAAGATATAGCGAAGATCCTGTGTATATGCCATCTGTCGGCAAATCGGGCAGTCGTTATTTCTCATTAAATAAGCTCGAATGCATGAATCCCCGAAGAGATGACCACATGCCAGAGAGACGACCCGATGAGAGCCATTCGCGTCCCAGGCCTCCAGGCAGATGGAGCAGGTAATTTTTTCCAGGTTGTTATCCTCCAGACTCTGCTTCTGCGCCTCCATTTGCTGCAGATGCATTTGCTCCTGAGCTTCAAGGTCCTTTAGCAATTGGTGGCGCATTTGTTCCTTTTGGGCGATTTGCTGCTGTGACTCCGAAATGATGAGCTGCATCGACCGGATCTGCTCCTCCAGCTTTGCAACGACGCCTTTAAACTTGATATCGTGCTCCTCCAATTTTAATATCATACCATCCAGCTCAATTGTGAGTTGTTCCTTCTGGGAATTGGCGAACTGATATTTGTAGGTCACCTTTTCAATGGCCTTCTGGAGTTCCTGGTTGTCCTGATTTGCATGCCCAAGCTGCTGTTTTAGTTGATTCAGCTCCAGCTTTTGATTCTGGGATTCGACAGAGAGCATCTGCAGCGACAGATCCTTAGAATCCATGTCAGTTTCCAGGAAAAAAAGCTTGCTCCACTGCAATAACCATTCAAATTGTTCCGCTTCGAAGGCATCGTCAAGATCCAAGGAATCTTTGAAAGCCGCCATCAAATGTTTTTGGGGGGCAGGGGCACTGGGATAATTTATAATCAGATTAGATTAGATTTTTAATTTCTGTAAGTCCCCTTTTTTGCCGTTGTGACTTGGTAGTTCTGCGCAATGAGAAACACGTGTTGGGGAAGAGTTTCAAAAGAGCACACTTCCAGAAATCTAAACGATTTCATAATGAATGAGAAACTTAAACTTTCAATAAAACCGATCTTACCTGATTTAAATTTTTAAATATCAAAAAATAAATTCCTCAAAACAAAATGCAATTCTGGCGGCAATAGCTGTTAAAATAACTATAAACGAAGCTTAAGAATTAAGTAGCACACCGCGAACGGTCACACTATGGATTAGCTGGCGTACTTATCGATAAATACATATGTCGATGTAATGTAAACGTATATATTTACCATATAAAAAAGAAACCGATGGATTCCAAACTAGATGTGAGTAAGCGCGCTTTAAAACATATATTTTATTAATCCTAGGCTTATTTTGTGACCCTAGATGTTTGAGGACGTGAACACGTCGCCGAGTTTGGAGGGTGACATGTCCATTCCGGGGAAGAGGACCACAACTGCAACGAATGCAAGTGGAGTGCCTGATTACAACACTTTGGACGAGCCGATCCGGGAGACAGTTCTGCGGGACATCCGCGCCGTAGGCATCAAGTTTTACCACGTGCTGTATCCTAAGGAAAAGTCCAGTCTGCTCCGCGATTGTACGTCATCACTGGGGCTTCGTCTGCATTCGTAGGCAGTTTTCAAATTGGAATTACCTGATTTTTTCAGGGGATCTTTGGGGACCTCTGGTGCTGTGCACATTCATGGCCACCATCCTGCAGGGCTCCTCCTCCGCCGACAGCATGTCCGACAACGGACCCGAGTTCGCCCAGGTCTTCGTCATTGTCTGGATAGGAGCGGCCATAGTCACACTCAATTCCAAGCTGCTGGGCGGCAATATGTGAGTGGAGTCACTCTATTCTGTTTGTATTTTAGTAGTAATATTTGTTTCTTCCAATCCCCGTCAGCTCGTTCTTCCAATCCGTCTGCGTACTGGGCTACTGCCTCACTCCAGTGGCCATTGCTCTCATTGTGTGCCGGGTAATCCTCCTGTCCCATCAGACGCGGCTGCTCTTCTTTTTGCGCTTCGTGACCACCACAATGGGCTTTGCCTGGGCCACCTACGGTAATGGGAATCCACTCCAGATGTTCGAACAACTAACTAATGATACTCACGCCTTTCAGCTTCCTTTATTTTCCTGGGCCAGAGCCAGCCGCCACATCGCAAACCCCTGGCCGTCTACCCCATCTTTCTGTTCTTCTTCATCATCTCGTGGCTGGTCTTGTCCCACAATTAGACCAATTCGTGACGCTCCGCTTAGTGATTAGTTCGTAAAGAAAACAGTGCACGTTCCATAGCGTAACCAAAAACAAAAGTATCCGAAATCAATTGTACATTTCTTTAAGCTACGATTCCGTTTTCTTTATTCTTAAAATCTTACAAATTATCTGAGTTACGAGGTTGCCTATGCAAGCGCGGATATGTGGGCTCACACCTCCAGATTGTTCGCCGAGGAGGACACCTCCAGGGACATCTGCATCTGGACGCCATCGCCCTTGGTGGGTCTGTAGGTCAGCGAGTTGGCGCGCGCCTTGCGTCCCATGAAGTGCCGTTCCACCCATTTCAGCAGCGTGTACACGGAGTCTGTGGAGGGCAGTCGGTGGTCCGCAGCGGTCTTCACAATGTCGGAGGAGGTCACTCGGAAAGTTCGTGCCATACCCTTGAGAGCCTGATCAGGGATAGGAAGAGAAAATAGCTAAATTCCAGCCAGCGGAGAGCTCTGCTTCATCGATCACATACCACCATGGCATCTTCGTCTGTCAGATCGTCGCCCACATAGATAATCTTGATGCGCTCGTTCCAGTCGACGCCGAAGGATGTGCGCAGGATGTAGATCGAGGCACGACCCTTGTTCCATTGCACCGGCGGACGAGCCTCCAAAGCGCAATGCGCCTCGGTGGCCTTGAAGCCGTACTTCTCGATCAAGGAGCGCGCCTTGTCCACCATCGCGCCCCTCAGGTGAGTGGGCGTCTCGCGGTAGTGGAACGTCAGCAGCGCCCCCTTGTTCTCCACCCAGGCGCCATCGCGGCAAACGGAGTCCTGCAGCGCCTTCAGCAGATCACTGACCTTCTTCTCGTACTCGATGGGCATGGGGTGCACGAACTTGCTGCCGTCCGGATGGAGGATCTCCAGGCCGTGATTGCCGGCGTAGGTGATGCCCTCGATGCCAACCATCTTCTTCACATTGTCCACGTTGCGACCCGAGATGACGGCCACGTAGACGTCCGAGTGGTTGGACAGCTTGTAGAGCACATTCTTGATCTCCGGCGAGAGCGTGGCCAGATCCGGATGCGGAGCGATGGGCGCCAGGGTGCCGTCGTAGTCCAGCAGCAGAGCCAACTTGTGGTTGTAGCCGATGTATCTGGGTTCAAGGAAGGGGATTGATGAGGATTACCTTATAACTTAAATAAAATTAACCACTCACTTCAGTAAGTAGTCATCGAAGTCGTCCACGGAGACCGGTTGCATTATGGTGGTGCCCACATCGTCCATCTCCAAGGCGCCCACCGCCTTCAGGAAGCCGCGCATCCAGTGGCTCACATCGCACTCGGCCTCTCGCCGGCGGAGACGCGCCATCCGGAGCACGCGTTCATCCTCGGGCATGGTCAGCGCCCGGTGGATCACTTCGGCGGCCTCGTTCACTTCGTACGGATTGCAGAGCAGCGCCTCGTGCATCATCTCGCCGGCGCCGGCGAACGGAGAGATGACCAGGACACCGGGCACCTCGTTGATCTGGCAGGCCACGAACTCCTTGGCCACCAGGTTCATGCCGTCCCGAAGTGGAGTGACCAGGCAAACAGCCGCATCCCTGTACAAGGCCGCCAGCTCGTCCTGGCTGACATAGTCGTAGATGTAGCGAATGGGCGCCCAGTTGGCGGTGGTGAAGCGACCATTGATGCGGCCCACCAGCTGGTCCACCTCCTCCTTCAGCTCGCGGTACTCCTTGACATCCGTTCGCGACGGCACCGAAATCTGCAGCAGGCTCACCTTCTCCTTGTGCTGCGGATACTTCAGCAGCAGCGCCTCGAAGGCCATCAGGCGGTGGACGAGGCCCTTGGTGTAGTCCAGTCGGTCCACTCCCAGGATGATTTGCATCTTGGATGTCTTCAGCACCTTGGGTGCGGTCGTGGCCAGGTTAACGAAGCGCTCGTAGGGAATGCCAATGGGCAGCGGGCGGACGCGCACTGTGCGCCCACCGTGCTCCACGAGGAGGTTGTTCCTGTCCACGCGGCAGCCGAGATTCCGCTGGCAGCAGTCCACGAAGTTCAGGCAGTAGTCCTGGATATGGAAGCCCACCAGATCGCAGCCCAACATGCCCTAAAAATAGTAGGAAAAGGGAGTTATTGGTGATCCTGGCAGAAAGAAGTTTGGGAGAGCCTTTCTTTCCAATATTATTTCACCATTTGGTGACCCCAATTGCTCTATTCTTATTTCCCCTTCTTGAAAGCTAGGCTCACCTGCAGGATCTCATCGGACCAGGGCAGCAGACGGAAGATGTCCCATGGCGGGAAGGGGATGTGCAGGAAGAAGGCCAGGCGACAGGGCAGGTTCTTCTCCTCAGCATGCTCGCGCACCCAGTTGGCGGCCAACATGAGGTGGTAGTCGTGGATCCACACAATCGGCGGGCTCTTCTCGCTGCCCTCGTTCTTGGCCAGACACTTCTCCAGCGCCTCGATGGTGCGCACCGCGAAGTGCTTGTTGACGGTCACATAGTCGTGCCAGTGCTCGCCTCCGAAGTTGGCTCGTCCCGGCATCGAATGGAACAGCGGCCAGAAGATCTTGTTGCAGCATCCATTGTAGTAGCTGTCGAAGATCTTCGAGTCGATATTAACGGACACCACCTGGTCCGACTTGAGGCCGGCGGTGGGCGTCTGATCGTTGGGATTCGACTCGGGAATGGCCTCGTTGGGGTCCTTCAAGTGGATTCCCGACCAGCCCACCCAGAGGCCACGGCCCTTGATCACCACCGGACACACTGCGGTCACCAGACCACCAGCACTGAAATAAGGAATACAGAAATACCATCAATATTGGTCATCATCTGGATAGTTTTTAAAGTAAGATATCTTAAACGATAAGATATAAGATATCTACATTTTTGGTGATTTGTTATTTTGTAGGAACTTTAATTAAGTTCTAGATATATAACCCCGTATTAAATATCAGAAAATGGCTCTGCAGAAAGTTTTGTCAATACATTAATTTTTGGATAAATCAATTTTTGGACTTTAGGTCCACTTTTTTTAAACATATCACTTACATAACTTAGAATACGGAAGTACCATCAATCTTGGTCATCATCTCAATAGTTCTTTTAAGTTTAGATCTCTTTGAAGATACAAATTTATGATATCGTACTTGGGGAAAATTTAATTAATTTATAAATATATAAGCCCGTATTGAATAATGAATAACTTAAGACATTGATAATAATTGAATATTAGGATACATAACCTAAGACATTGATAATAAATTGCAAAAAGTATATCTCTGTAAGTCCTTAATCAATTTTGGTTTTGAACTTAGGTCCACTGTTTTTAAATATATAACTTGATGGAATACATAAGAAGTGTGATGTAAACGTGTTTCTTCTCCAACGGATGAACGACGTAATCAGGTGTACCAGAGGCACTGGACCGGACGGAATATACAAGCGAGCGTGTGTTGGTGGGGACCAAGCCCATTTTGTTCGGAGTGCATGACACCACGGCGCTGATAAGATGAGGCCCATTAATGCAGAGATTGTAAACAAGCTGTGGATTGGGCTTTGGTCAGCAGTCCGTCCGGCGGCCGGAGAGAGTCTGGAAGAGCCAAAGAGGCCCAAAGAAGAGCCATTCCTGGCATAGGTCGGACACAGCTCCATCTCGCAGCAATCGCACTCACGTGACTCCGGTTTTCAGTGTCAGGTTCAGCTTCCACTGGCCACTGGCGACAACAGCCTCGTTTTAACGCCTCCAGTATTGACCCTTTTACCACACACTCGGAAGGGTCAAAAACGCGAATGAAACCTCGCTGATAAGGCCCGCCATTACGGGTATTATTGAATTTGTTTTCTAAATCAAAGCCTAGGCTCCGCTTCTCTCTGTGTGTTTTGCACTGATAAGATTGAAAACCCAGCGGAGATCAAGATGAACCATGGTCTAGGTATGGCACATACTTGGATCGAGAATTGAATTGTGGGGAGGGGGGCTTTTGGAGCTATTTATTGGGAGGCGGCTGTGACAGACTGCTTATCTTCTATGCAAATTGTTCGAGGATCGAATTGGGTTACTTGGGGATTTTCGGGAGTGCAAAGAACATGGAAATTTGCTCGGTGCCCGATTTCCGACACTTGATAAGCCTGCTTACGAAACCATTAGAAATGTGTTATTATTTGGTTTTTATAACAAATCAAAACTTTCCTTTGTTCAATTTAGTTTTTATTTTAATATTAGCTTGGCCTTATTATTTAGGCTGACTAAGGAAATGAGACTATTGGTGGACAATTTGCTGCTCGCTTAAATATTTTAATATTTCAAGTTGTATTAGGTTGCTTAAACTGATTTAGAAGTTTGAAAATATCTGATTAACTTAAGTCCACCTTATTATGTAATATATACTCGATCTGTACTTTAAATTTTTTCAACAGCGTCGTAGTATTTATAGTCTTATTTCATCTGATTACATAAGTCACATTTTTAGCTAATATGTTTTTTACGTATACACTTTTATATGAACACTTCGTAGCTTGGATTTATCCCACTCACCTGGCTCTGCGTTCCAGCTCATCGGTTTTCGGGTTCCGGATCAGCACAAATGGCAGCCGATTGGAAACCACGATGAGGCTCGCCTTGGTGGAGGGCTCCCCGGCATTGGTAACAATGATCTCCGTGTCGGGCATTTCGATCTTTGGCAAATCAGCTATGGGTTAAATTAGCTCTGGGACTTGTGAAAATCTTTTCTCGGAGGCTGCGATCGAATTTAGCACATAGTTTTTCGACAGAACCGATGCGAATGGTCGCGGATGTGGAGGTGGGACACCTAGCTTATCACTGGGCCTTCCCAAATGAGAGAGCGACCGTTGCCGAAATCAAATTTAAAATTCGCTGATGGATGACTGAAGATTCAAGAGCAACTGGCCGAAGACAAGCGGCTGACTGTCGTCTTATCGCTTCTCTCAGATGCACTTCTACGTGGAAATCAGTTTTCCTGGCTGCGTTGCGAGTTGAGAGCCAGCAGCTCCGTACCCTGCCGAAAATAGACAAGCACTAAGCCAACTAGCCGCTCAAGTCGCACTTTTCTGCTAAAATTAATGCCTGCCTGCCATCCCCCTCCATTCCCTTGGGTTCCACAGTCCACGTCCACTGTCTCTCGCGTTATCAGAAAATCGTCCAGCTTCGTTTCTCGCGCTGATTACGATTTTCCTGCGGTTGTGCCTCAGTTTCGACGGAGAGTACTGCTCCTGTCCTGGCGGACTGGACATACCCTGGCATCCTTGAAAGGGGTTGGAGGTGATGGTGCCCTATATGATCTTTCGGATCCACAGTTTAAACATCGCAGCTAGTTTTCTGGAATTAACTGGCCGCGCCTGGTATTATCAGCCCGCCGACATTTCACGGCAACGGCGGCCATAGCCTCCTCCCCTGATCACCTCCCCATCCACCACCACCCATCGATGCTGTCTCCCAAAGCGATAAGTCAACAAATCGATGATGTTGTTTACGCTCCGGGTCTGGCCTTATAAAGAACATCCGAATTGTACACAGAAGATTTCTATTTTCGTTACTCTATCAAGTTGTCTGCAAATCTCTTGGGCTCTTGAGCTCCTCCTGCACATCTAACCTTGTCATGACCGCCATTTGTGGGGTTCATTAACGGGCGAATAGTTTTATTTGGCCCGGTATTTATATTTATATTTGGTCAGTAAAGATATCGGTCTGATAAGACGCTATCTGGTGCATCTTAGTCTCGGATTTACGGCGGAGTGGTGCAAGGGATTACGCCTGGCCAGGCCCAACTTATATATTCTAGTATGGAAAACTTGGCTGAACTTGAACGCTTGATCATGTTTGGCATTCATGCGCTTATCACGACGCCCGGCTGGCGTTTTACGTGATTCTTGATAGTTGCCCGCTGCCTTAGCCGGAATCTGCAATAACAGTTTCGCATTGGGAGCACAAATTAGTCAGCTCCGCTGGGACATTAGTTGCATCGGTGCATCCATCCCGATCCGATCCGGTCGGCGATAGTGATGGTGAGATAACCCGGCCGGAGGTCGCTGTATTACGTTGGCTTATTTGTGGTTGCGGCCTATGGCTATTAAGACGCAGACGTCTATGGTTTGACGTGATCAAGCTGACGCATAATCCCAATTGCTTGCATCACGAAGCAAAATGTTTGGAAAAATAAAACCGCTTTTAACGGTCGATAGGAGGGCAGGGCTGCCAGCTCGCTAGAATTTCCACAGCGATAGTCGAGGATCGCCACCAGGCCGGTGCCATCTCCAACCCACAGTGTGACCGTATATCCCTGCATTTGTTTATGTTTTGCGCAGCAAACTATGGATCCTTCAATTATTGAATTTATTGGCGAAAAGTGCATGATCAGCATTATTCCAAACTTCTCCAACGAACCCCTCCATCTCATATACGGATCTGTGGGTCCTTTCCGGGCGGGCTTTCCCGTATTTGTGCCCCTGTGGATGGCCACGCATCTGCGCAAGCAACAAAAGTGCAGGATCGTGCCGCCAGAATGGATGGATATGGATATACTGGAGGAAATCAAGGAGGAGGAGAAGCGATCGAAGTATGTATGAAGTGGGATTGATTCGAAAAAGCACATATAATCTTCTGGTTACCAATAGATTCTTCACAAAAATGCCCTGCGAGCACTACATGGTTGTGGCCCAGTTGGTCATGAGCACGGCGCCGGATGATGTTCCCCGTTGCGAGGAGCTGCGCACTGTGATTAAGGACATCTTCGACATAAGGGAATCCAAGTTGCGCACCTCGATTGATGCCTTCATCAAGGGAGAGGGCACCTACGCGAAGCTGGACAACCTGACGCTCCTGGAGATTCACAGTGTGCGGCCCATTTTGCCGTATTCCCTGGACCACATAGCTCGGTACCAAAGAACGGCCACCGCCTCCCAGAGGGACACTTCCATGCTGAGTGCTTCCATGGCGGGATCCAGTTCGGTTCCCAATAGCAACTCGCTGTTTTCTCAATAATCTTACCACCTAAGTCCTTAATAGCATTGTAGACCTGTTCGAAAATAAATTTATATAGATGTAAGAGAACTGCTGGTGTTTTCTGATTTCTGCAAAATAAAAGAAAATAATGAGTAATGCAAATAATTTAAACTTTAAAAGTAAACCATTTACAATTAATGAAGATAATTTATTAATAAACTAATATGATCAAAGCTAATAGAAAATCCCAAAGTAAAGATACATAAATCTATATTTTATAGACATTACAAATTAGAAATTGAATAATTTTTTTTTGATATAAGAAAAAATATAGCAATTAAATTGTTTACTTTTGATAAAGGCAATTTGAATTCCGATAACTGGTACTGTCGATGTGCACAACTCCAACATATTGCGCCCAACAGCACGATAGCAGTTTAACATCAACCCGTTATCAAGCAAGGTAGTTGCACTCTCCATCCCTGGTTGTTCCACGAAAAAAATAACAAATAATTTTTATACAAATTAATAAGGATTGTGGGAAAATGAGCGAGGCTGCGGTAGCTGTAGAGTCGGAGGAGAGGATGGTGGCCAACAACAAGATCCACTTCTCAAAGGAGGTGAAGCAGGTCATCGACAAGGTAAGCCAAGTGAACATATGTAACTTGCACCCAACCCAAATAAAAATCTCCCAAACAAGGTCCTCAAAACGGATGATCCCATGGATGCGGCGGACTTTAACACCGTGGACTACATCAACCAACTGTTTCCCAACGAGCAGTCGCTGGCGGGGATCGACGAGACCATCCAGAAGATGCAGTGCGAGGTGTCGCTCATCGACGACAACATCCGATCCGTGGTCCGTGGCCAGACGAACACCGGCCAGGATGGACAGCTGGCGCTGTGCGAGGCCCAGAAGGTGATCAGCTCCCTGTTCAGCCACATCATTGACGTGAAGACGCGTGCGGAGCGCACCGAGGAGATGGTCAAGGAGATTACGCGGGACATCAAGCAACTGGACTGCGCCAAGCGAAATCTCACCGCAGCAATCACCACGCTGAATCACCTGCACATGCTGGTGGGCGGAATCGACAGTCTGAACAAGCTGATCGAGCGGCGATCCTATGGGGAGATCCTCAATCCCCTGCAGGCCATCACCGAGGTGAACCAGCACTTCCAGCAGTTCTCCGACATCGAGGAAATCAAGGTGACTTTATAGTTAAATTAAAGTAAATTACTAAATGAACTCCTTTCTCTTTTAGAATCTCTCCCAGAGCGTGGACAAGATACAAGTCACACTGGCGCAGCAAATCACCGAGGATTTCAAGGAGGCCTTTGCCGCCAAGCCTTCATCACAAAACCAACACCGTTTGGGTCTTAACCAACTGGCCGACGCTTGCAAGGTGATGTCTGTGCTGGATCCCAAGGTGAAGAAGGAGCTGCTGAAGTGGTTCATTGCCCAACAGCTAGAGGAGTACACGCACCTGTTCCACGAGAACCAGGATATTGCCTGGCTGGACAAGATCGACAAGCGGTACGCCTGGCTCAAGCGGCATCTTCTGGACTTCGAGGACAAGTATGGCCCGGTCTTTCCATTAGACTGGGAGGTCTCAGAACGGATTACAGTGGAGTTCTGCCGGCAGACGCGCGAACAGCTGGCACAGATCATGTCCAAGCGCACCAACGAGATCGACGTGCGGCTCCTTTTGTTTGCCATCAACAAAACGCAGGCTTTTGAGCAGCTGCTCTCAAAGCGTTTCACTGGAGTCACACTAGGAGTAAAACCCGCGGAACAGGCGCGGGTGATCACAGAACCATCGGCGACGGATGCTCCTGTGGGCGTGACCGCCTTCCACGACCAAATTGGGCAATGCTTCAAGTCACACTTGGACATCTACATACGCAGCATCGATCGGAATCTCGCGGAGCTTATGGAAAAATTCGTGGAGATGTCGCGGGAGCCGTACAAATTCGCCGAGGCCAAGACCACCGTTTACCCCAGCTCCGGGGATCTATTCGTTTTCTACAAGAAGTGCATGGTGCAGTGCAACCAACTAAGTAACGAACAGCCCTTGTACGATCTCGCGTTGGTGTTCAAAAAGTATCTACGCGAGTACGCCTCCAAGGTTCTCGAAGGTAGCACACCTAAATTAGTGCCCGCCACCACGGGAAGCACTATCGGCAAGAGCGTCTCGTTGCTCACGCGCGACATGCAGAACTTGTCCACTGCCGCCGGCCAAGTATTCCACAACTTCCTCAAGGAGGGCGACACGCAGCGCTTCTCAAGGGACGACCTGGTGCGCATCTGTTGCGTCCTGACCACCGGTGAGTACTGTCTGGAGACTGTCCAGCAACTGGAGGATAAGCTAAAAGAGAAGGTGACTTCAGCTTATGTGAGCAAAATTGACATGAGCGAGGAAAAGGATGTGTTTCATCGGTGAGTCAAACACACATGACTAAAAGTTCTTGTAACTCATTATTTTCTTATCCCCCCACAGCATTATATCCAACTGCATCCAGCTCTTGGTACAGGACTTGGAGGCAGGCTGCGAGGCCTCGCTGCAGGCGATGGCCAAGGTGCAGTGGCAGCACATCAACAACGTGGGCGATCAAAGCGCATTTATCAGCAGCCTCTGCGGCAACTTCAAGCAGACAGTGCCCACCATCAGAGACACGCTGGCCAGTTCGCGCAAATACTTTACCCAGTTCTGCCACCGCTTCGTGGCCGCCTTCATACCAAAGTTCATCAACGTGCTGTACCGCTGCAAACTTACTCTCTCGGATGGATCCAATAATGTGCTGGGCTGCGAGCAGCTTCTGTTGGACACCCATTCGCTGAAGACTGCTCTTTTAGAGCTGCCTTCAGTGGGATCGAGTGTGAACCGCAAGGCGCCGACCAGCTACACCAAGGTGGTAGTCAAGGACATGACACGGGCCGAGATGATCATCAAGGTGGTGATGACGCCAGTCCAGCCGCCGGCGCACTTTACCCAGCAGGTTCTGAAACTGCTTCCCGACATCACCATTGCGGAGTATCAGAAGATTCTGGACATGAAGGCTGTGAAGCGGGTGGATCAGCTGCAGCTTATCGATCTTTTCAAGCACACGGCTTCGGCAGCGGCGGTTAGTGGCTTAATAGAGGCAACGCCTGGAGATGATGAAGTTCAAGGAGCAGAACCGGCTACCGCCACTTTAGAAACCCATGACGATGCCGAAACTTTGACAGGAGCAACGGAATCCTCGGCAACAACGACTGCATCCACTTCCACACCTAAGAGAGCCTTCATCTTCAGCGTCGGCAGCTTTACGGGCAGTGCGGACAAAAATGCCGATGGCAGTTCCCAAACGGGCATCAGGAAACTGGAGAATCTACTGAAGAAGCGCTTCCCATAGACCACAAATCTATTTTTCTTCAGAAATCATTCCATTGAATTTAGTTTGACAATATTCGTTAATGCTTTTTTGATTAATTTATAGAGCCTTGTCCGGTGTAATTGGAGTAATTAGATTGGTAGAGAAAAATGACACTTTTAGTTTTGTAGTTAAGATCTGTATTATTTGCAAACCATCCAATCCGTCTTTTGTTTAACAAAAAGTTTAATAAATGTTTTATTTCCACGAACCCTGAATTTTCACTACATTTTCGACCAATATGGCATGGATTATAGCCAGATTTACCATCGAGATAAAATTTGATAAAGATATTTGTAATATTGTATTTTTGCTTTTATAATAAAAAACAACTTATTAAAAATTTAAATAATTTGAATTAATAATCGATAACAGTTTGATGTTTTTAAGTACTGTGTTGCGAACAGGGTGGCTCGTGCACCGAGTGTCGCTTAGCCCTGGAAATTGTAAACAACTATGAAATAGTTTTAAAATTCTTTACATTTCATATTCAGTCCACTTATAAAATAAAGTTTATATTTTGAACATAAAAATAGTAAGGACTTGTAAGAATAATACGAATTCTACGGAAAAGTACGCTTTGTACATAAATTTGAATGCCGTTTTCCTCGTAATCACAAGGGTGGCCAAGTAAAACAACCCCACTACTTACGGGTAAAGCGGCAACTTAAACCACAACAAAAAACCATTCTTTACTATTCTGATTTATTCCTCTTTATTCGCTTCTAGGACAATGGAGAACATATGCCAACTTTGCAAGCTGATACCGGGCCTGTTGGTAAAACGTGGAGACTCACTACCGATAACCATTTGCTTGCAGTGCCTGCATTTGGATGCATTTGGTTCAAAACTAGGGAGCCAAAAGGAAATAGAGGATGAGGTCCTGGAAAGGGAACCCATCCTGGGAGAATACTTCATAATAACAGAATTCGAGGAAGACCCAACGATGGCAACATGCCGGGTTTGCCTGGGGCATAACGAAAACATGATTAATATCTTTGATAACACGCTGGAGTCGGGCATCCCGATTGCCACTCTGATCTCACAAAGTACAGGACTTGGCGTGGCGAAAGGAGACTCATTTCCCGAAACTGTTTGTCCGACATGTCTGCTGGATGCTCATAACGGCTACGAATATCACAAATTGCTAGGGACATCATCAGTTATGCCAAGTGAAGGAAGTCATCGATGAGAACTTAGTTCAGGAAGTTAAACGAGCAAGTTAAGAATGACTTGTTTAAAGAAGTCCCTAATGCAACAGTCTGTGGAACTGATAAAAGGCAAGACACAATACCCTTTGTAAAAAATAACACTTTCAATGTCTTTTTTATTATTTAGGGATTCCATTTCTCTGTCATGTCAAGTCCAGAATCAGGACTAGAACAACGCTATGGAAAAATGTTGAAGTCTACAGCCTGGTGGATGGCTTACATTAAGCAACATATAGAACGAACCAACTGTTGGATTGAAAAAATCGAGAATTCGTAATATGTGATTTTCCTGAAAAGCAAAATAAATCATTTCTTAATACCATTTAAAAAAAATAACAAACAAAAGCTCAAAATTATTATTTTAATTACTTCATTTTATTGTATGCTTGACTTGTAGCTTTTAAACATAAACTTATTTGACTATGCTGAAAGTTGGATTCTCATGTTTATGTTCGTGTTTTCATGGTACTAATGACTAATGCGTTGGCTTAGCGGCTAACTATCTGCTACAACTAGAACTAGGTTTGCGGTTGCTGCGGCTGCTCCGAATTTTACGCTATGTACATGCAACTTATGGTCTAACTGATTTTGAGCGTACGGTCTAGTTTGAAGATCTTTTGAAAGTGATCGCATCGCGCGCAATAATACAACTCTCTAAACAAAAGACTTAAGACACGAACTTAGGCGTACATTTATGGATGAATCTTATTTCTAATGCGTAAGTATGCTTTGGTTTAATTCCAGCACTGCAAAAACCTAAACGAATCGAGTATGACTATGACGCAGTGGCCCAGCGGTCGGCATTCCAAGGCCAGTTAGCACCTGCCGGCCAACATCGCCCGAAGCCGCCGCTGGGACTGAATAATCTAGGCTAGGCTAGGGATTCACTCATAAATTTAAATACACAGTATTTACACAAGTCGAGTAAATGTCTAAGCTAGTAGGGCTCCTCCCTAGACGGCCACGATCTTGCTGGGATCCACTTTCACCCGCAGGAACACGGTGTCCCCCTTGATGAAGGGTCGGCTGTGCAGCAGTTCGTGTGAGATGAAGCGCGGGAAGCCGAAGCCCAGCTGGTCGGGTTCGTTCGACGGCCGCTGGAAGTTCTCCCAGGTGGGATCCGGCACGAATGACTCCGCCACGCCGCCCTGGCCACTCTGGGCTCCCTGCTCGAACAGCGTGAAGGTGATGGAGTGCGAGAAGGGCCACTTCAGCAGGGCATCGTACTCGCCGGGCAGGACCTTAATGTACACGGACACGTGCGTGTTTTCGCCGGGTCCGTTGCCATTGAGGAACATCGAGGCCTGCAGCTTGTAGCCGTACTGGGAGGTGTAGAAGGGCGGGGAGACCAGCTCCAGGCCGTCCTTGCCCCTCGCCTCCGACATCTTGGCCGACCAGTCGGTGATCTTCCACAGCAGAGTGCCGGTGTAGTTGATCGACAGCTTGGAGACCGCCGACTTGAGCATCTGAATCTGCTGACCCTGCCGTGAGCTTAGGGCCACCATCAGCGAGAGGTGGGCGGCAGCATTACTCTCCAGATGGGCCTCCAGCATCTGGCGGGGACCCTTGAAGCGGCAGCCCGCCTCCTTGAAGCTGCAGGCCACGGCCAGCGACTGGCACTCGTCCCGCAGATGGGCCTCCAGCTCACCCCGGGCAATCGGACCCGCCTCGCACCTCTGGGGGCAGGCCAACGGAGCCCTGGGACACTGGGCCGCGTGCAGGGGCAGAGTGTCCGCCGAGAACTCCCGCTGGCAGTGGGCACAGCGTCGGAGTCGCTTGGCGCAGTCCTTGGACTTGTGCAGGGTCATCCTGCCGCGCAGGATCCTCTGGCCGCACTTGGCCTCGCAGTAAACCGGCTCCTGGCCGCAGCTGCCATTGTGCTCCTCCAGTCCGGCGCCGGAGAACTCGCTCTGGCAGAACTCGCAGCGGGTTCGCCTCATCGTGCAGGTGTACTGCAGGTGATCCGTCATCATGATCCGGGGGATCTGCGCCCCGCACTTGTTGGGACACTGCGTGGCATCGTGCTTGCAGGCGTTGAGGTGTCCCTTCAGCTTGCGCAGCTCGTCGGACCACTTGCAGCCCTGCTTGTGGTGGATGCAGAACACCAGGGAGCCCATGATGTGTTTCGGATCGGGACCGGGATAGATCTGTAAGACAGAGAGGGAGGAAAAACGTGAGTTAATATTGTTAACTATTAACTATTTAAGAGAAATGGTAAAGACCTTAAGCTACAAGTGTGTTGTAATTGAGTATGAGAATTCATAACGATGAACCTTAAGCCTTTTCGGCAACAAATATAACTTGTATATTATATAAACAATTAAAATTCTTAACTTTAGTTACCTTTTCAGTGGAAAAATAGCACTTTACTTTGCCAAAACCTTTCCAAATACCCATCGAGTATAAGATGACTTTTCAAGTGCGGAAGTTGAAGTGAAACTAATGAGTTCCTTGAGCTCCCCCTACCTTATAAAGGTGTTTGAGATTTGCTTTCCCAAGCTGATAGGCAGGAGATGGCACCTCTTATCTGGCGATCCCCTCGACCTGTCGTTTATCCAGTCCATCGCAGATATTGATTTTCCAGCTACCTGCCCGCCACCTTTCGGTGCATTTCCCCCGAGGGTTTTTCACACATGACTGCTCATGTTCCTAGGCACACTGGGCACACCCAGACAGGCACTTCCTGTCCTACCTTCTAACGTTCTTTTTGGGCACTCTCCCCACTTCCACGGCCATCGCTTGACTGCCTTTTCCTTTGCCTTTGCCCATACTGGCACTTCGGGTTTGAAGAACTTGAGAACTGCACCCGCTTCTGGTTTCTGCTCCCCAGCTTTTCCCTTATGCACTTCTGTTTTATGCTTTTAATTGCTGGGGACTGCGAGAGGAGTGCGACTTCACATCCGGTAGATTAAAGTAATAAATTGCGTTGTTGTGCGAAAATATTTATGACTTGCTGCGGCCGCCTAATCTAATTAAAACGCCCCCATTTCGAATTCCCAGCCACCCACATTTGAATATATATGTTAATTGTTCGATATAAAGATATTTGACAAACTATTAAAGTGACGAGTAGACGAATCGGGGAAAAACAGAGATGTGGTACGGGATCTGTGGCTCCTAACCGAGCGTCGCGACATTTCCGGTTGACTCTTTTAATTGACCTTATCTGCAGTTTGTTGTGGGGCCACAAGGAAGGTCAGGGGGTTGGGGGGAGGGGCGCCGATTCAGAGCGTGGCTTGACTTTTGATAAATGAACATGTCGCTGCATCTGGTTCTGGTCCCAGAGACATAAAAACGAAGATATAATAAGCAATTAACACATGAGCAAGGAGCGGGACGCGGGGAAGTTCGGATCGGATCCCATGTGCCCTCAACCGAAATGGGCGTAGGAAAAAATAAAATATTATTTCTATGGAATCGCCTTTGCTGGTAATTTCATTTAACGTGAAAACGAGTTTAGCTCTGTTTTTCTTCGCTCTGCTGTTTTATGTCAACTCTTAAGTGGTGAACTGTGCGGTTGAACTCTCGATGGGGCCATGGACCAATTGGCCAATTGGGCAATTGGACTTGGATTCGAAGAGTGAACCACCCACATACGAGATCGCTCAGGAAGTAACCGCCACTCAATCGGCGATGCCGTAAACAAATAACCGATGTTTACACAAATGCCGTATCATGTAGTGGATGGTTTAATGAAGAACATGCAGCAGCATCCGAGCAGATCAGAGATCAAAAGCCAACTGTTTGTCAACCGGCTCCAAATGTTTACGGGGAAACCAAACAATTATGCTCCAAACGGAAAAAAAAGTTGAAGAGGGGGAAGACTTTTTTTAGTGGCAATTACTTGCCGCTCTGCTAAGGTTAATTTACTTTGACTTCCACATCGGGGACCACACAAAGATGGAATGGAGATGGAGGTCGTTTGCCAGATTTCGTCGGATGATTATATAATTAAGCGATCTTTGGGCAACTTTTGCTTTTTTCCTAATGCCAAAAAACGCAAGGAAATAGAGAATATTGTTATTCAGCTCCTCAGAGTCATTCAGTTTGATTGGTTCTTATGTAAAGCCGCAGACAATGGCAATTGAAATTCCGATTCAGACACGAAAGCGTGGCCAAATTTCAGGCCGCGGCAATTAAAAAATAACATAAAAACGAACAGACAACAACTCCAAACCAAATCAATGTTCAGGCCAATGAAAGTGGAAACACCAAACAGAAATGAGTGAACAACGCATTATTTATGAACAACAGCAGTTGGCGCATTTTGTTTTATTTTTATGGGACGCAACGTCTCCTGGAGTGGCAACTTCTTTGCTCCACTCGGGGGATCATAAAAATGAAGTTAGGAATAGAGTCAGGAAAACGAATTTATAATTTTAGACATCGAATGCATTCGATTCCGTGCAAGACATGAGCCTCCTACTTGGAAGATCCCCCAACCATTACGCTTAAAGTTCAAGGCGCTCGTAGACGAAGAAGTTTGTTTTGAATTTTTATGGTCTGGCCTGGCTTCAATCATACAACATCCCATGCCAAGGCATTGTTTATGCTTCTGTTGAAAGTTTCGGACGGCCAAAACTTTGGGGTTCGTTCCTCTTGGGAATTTATTAATAGACAAATTGATTGGGAGGCACTTTAATTTGAAGGGTTGCAGTCCGTTGGGATACACTGATTTGTTTGTGTGATTATCCCAAATGAGTTTCCAAGTTATGCGGGATCTGGTAGGGTCTATTAAGGAAATATCTCTAAATAACAACACAATACAGTCTAGGAAAAATATTATTACATGTTCCCACATAAATACAAAGAAGTTTACTAGTTGATTATTTCATATTCATGATAAGTAAACGCCAAAGAAAGACATTTGAACCAAATTTGAATACAGGCGTTATCTTCTGGGTCCACAGAATGTTCTATTATTCTTCTGGAGCACGATCTCTCATCTTGCTAACCAGAAGATCATCAAAACCCGGGGGAAAGGGGACTTAGCACCTTCCATTATTGGTAAGCCCCACACTCCACTCCCCGCTGGGAGAACTTCCGTTTGCTCAGTTTACACAA